CTGACATGTTTGTTTGCTGCGGTAAAGTGTTGCTGTGTTCTCGGCTGAAGAGGCAGATGAAGTGAAGAGGAAGTGGATCAATGCAGAGGTCGTTTCGTCTTCTTGTCCCTAGGATGTTACCGTGAGCCACATAGCGCCCCCTACTGACCCGGATGTTAGTGTACTGTACATGATGGATGTATGATGACGGTTTACTCTGCAGTGGTGTACACTTTACAGGGTGGGGGAACTACTCAGATCTTTACTTCAGTAATAACAAAGTGTAGGAATACTCTCTTTCAACTGAGTAGAAGTCCTGTATTTAGAATGTAAGTCAAGTAAAAGTACAAAAGTATTAGCATCTAAATATACTTAAAGTATATAAAGTAAAATAAGTAATTGTGCAGATTGTTCCATTTCAGAATAATATATATGATATGTTTTATAATTATTGATCATTAAAGTGTTATCAAAGCTGGTAACGGTGGAACACATTTTAATGACTATTTATACTGCAGGGCAGCTTGTGAATTTACTCCAGGTCTAAAGGCTGGTTTAAGTGTTAAACAACACTACGTGTTAAATAGAACGATCCTCTCACTTGCTCATATTCTGCTCAGTGTAAGATTTGAAAACAAGAGCAGATCACCAATGCTAATTTATGGACAGATCTTTATGAAATATATACTTGATGCTGAATATATCACTTTTCTAAATGTTTTATATGGATCTTGACTTGGTATCGCTCACTATTTATCCGTTTAGAATTTAGAAGTTTTAGGCATTAGATAAAGAGTTTTGATCTAATCAATAATTCCAATGCACTGCTTTAATTCTGTTGAACAATCATAGGCTTTTACCCGTTGGAAAGATTGCCTTTTGTACCGAAATTACACTGTTGTTGTGATGGATATTCAGACTTGCTTTGCAGCGACACAAACGGTGACGTCATGACTCAGCTCCAACAGGGCTCTGGTTGGTGGAAAAGCAAACTGTTACCAACCAAAGTAGCACCAGCACAGAACTACAACAGAACCCATTTCAGTGGAGAAGGGTTATCAGGGCCTCAAAGTGAACGTGGGGCCTTGGGGGACCCTGAGGAGTAAGGCTCCGAGCAGGTTCCCCCTTTACCGTTTGCTAACCCAGCCTTGGTTGTCCCTTCAGTATGTAACCTCTGAAGTAAAAGTCTCAGTGTGAGGCTCTGGCATTCAGTTTTCTAATAACAAAGCTTACTGAACTCCACGTGAGAGCTAATCCTCTGCAGCTCACGCTCAGACTGCCTCCTGATAACTGGGGACAAGGGGGCCGTGGTATGTAATAATCTCCCCCCCCTCCACCAACATTCACCCCACCTCTTCACAACAATACCCCACAGACTTTAGTTGGAAGAAGCATTTTGCAATACTGACTCTCTACATCTCTTTGGCTCGGATTGTGGATTTTTTTCCCGCCCCTCTGTGTCATTTTCAATCCACTACTGTTTGTGTTCTTCAATTAATTTAAATTTAGGATCATTTTTCTTTTGCAAACCGCTAAAAAAAATGGGAATAGAACTCGCTGTCAATATGTCCGAGGAAGTTTCACTTTACGGAGGAAAAAGTGCCTTTACCCAAATGGAGCACAACATAGTGGCTGGATATCTGATAACGGCAGGTAACAAAGAGAATGGCTTTATGAGTAGATTCATTGATAATGAGTAATCTGAAAATGGTGTTGTATGCAATGTGATTTATCTGCTTGGTGTTCTTCTCTAGAACCTTGTAATCCTTTTATGTAACTCTGCATTCAGACCTTGTTTGAACATACTCTCAAAACATCTAACAGTTAAGTTTCCAACCATTAAGCTGGAAGGAGATATGGGAATTTGGCTTACTATTGGCAGTGTTATGTAATTCCTCATAAAGAATAATGAAATAACACATTAAAAAGTGTATTATGCTGCAAGCTTTCCTGAATACCATATTCCTGTCGAGCCAACTCCTATTACTATATTTGCTAAAGATTTCAAACACACAAAAACACACACAGCAAAGTTTAGGCACTGTATAGAGTCTTGCAGTGATGATATGTTTGCAGGCCAACCCTAAAGTTAGCATCGCTAGGTCCCCCTTGACAAAAGGTCAATTGGAATCTTTCTATTGGATTTTGGAATATTGCAGGAAAACGGGATAATCTCTAGATGAACAGTATTTTGTGATGTTTGAGGCGTTAATGCAATTGCCATAAGTGAAACTAACGTTAGCCAATAAACAGAATACATCACGGTCACTTGACTGTGCATCAACATCGCTAAGCTAAAGGCGGCTAATGTGTTTTAAGCCTTTACTTAGAATATTTTTTGAATTGTAAGGTGTCCTTGGGTGCTTTTAAAGGCGCCTCTAAATAGAATGAATTATTATTATTAATTATTATTAATATTATAAAATATATAAGTGTCAGACTTTCACCAGTGGGGTATTTACTGACGTATTTTATGTTGTAAAATAAAATGTTAAAAGCTCTTCAGCTTCAGTTAAGATCTTATTTAAGGCATCTAACCAAAAACATGTTAAAAAAATGGTTGACTTCAAGAAGAGAGAATCGGAAGTGGTAAAATGCTAACTAATTTCACGGTTTGAGGACTCATTTATGCACTATTCTATTCCAGATCAGCTTTTTTTATTGCTAAATTACTATAAATCAACTGTAGAAATAAAGTTAAACTGTTTCCTCCTGTGTGTCTGTCAGAAAACTCTTCTTCTTCTTTAATCTTTAAACTTGAAAAATGTATTCTCTTTTTGGAAATCACTTATTGTGGATGACTTAGTGACTTTGAGGAAATGCTTATGTGTTATATTTTCTTCTCAGTCACTTTAATTGAATATGATTAAAGGTTTGACTTTTGCCTCCCACGATGTGACACTTTACTTCAAGTCTTCTTTCCTCCTCTTAGGTATCGTGAGTTTAGCCAGCAACATTGTGGTTCTGTTGATGTTTGTGAAGTTTAAGGAGCTGCGCACTGCCACCAACATCATCATCATCAACCTGGCTCTTACTGACATCGGAGTGGCTGGTATCGGATATCCCATGTCAGCAGCCTCTGATATCCACGGCAGCTGGAAGTTTGGATACACTGGTTGTCAGGTGAGTGCCCTCTTCTGAACATCATTTAACTGAGGGGGACAACCCAAAACAACATGGAATGCAAGTTAAAAGCTTGATTCAAGGTCCGTCCACTTCGGGTCGGTGTTCTTTTCTCACTAATGACCGATTTTGCTGCACATTATCCCATTACAACATTACATGTCATTTGTTAGACACTTTTATCCAAAGCGACTTACATACAGGACTGTCTCAGAAAATTAGAATATTGTGATAAAGTTCTTTATTTTCTGTAATGCAATTAAAAAAACAAAAATGTCATACATTCTGGATTCATTACAAATCAACTGAAATATTGCAAGCCTTTTATTATTTTAATATTGCTGATTATGGCATACAGCTTAAGAAAACTCAAAAATCCTATCTCTAAATATTAGAATATCATGAAAAAGTATACTAGTAGGGTGTTCAACGAATCACTTGAATCGTCTAATTAACTCGAAACACCTGCAAGGGTTTCCTGAGCC